TGTGAACTTGTGCTGAGAATTCTAAACTGTAATTAATAATTCGAACCTGCAATCGCTGAACGATTGAACTACAACTCATTGGATGAAAGGTTGTACACTATTAATGAGACCTGAACATATCTAGTTTGAATTCTATCTAGATTTAAGTGTGTGTGCTTTGTGTCGAAGAGTTCGAAGCTATCATTATTTCATTGACGTTTTTATTACATCCTTCACCTGTCTACTCACTAATATGCAGAAGACAATTTGTCTCAACCTAGATCAAGGCCTTGATACGATAGACTGACTGGATAAATTTGAGGCTATAAACGCGTAAGTTCGAAATGAGACTAACTGCCTTGAATGAAGGAACAAAAACTATTCCATCACTTGATTGGTTGACATCCACGCGATCGAGAGAGAAAGACGAAACGACTGGAACACTATTCGATTTATTCTCAATCCCGATTCACACATCGATTCGGTTCCGATTCAGATTAGTGCAAAAAGATACATGAGTAGTATAGATGATTAACATGACCACAACACGCAAACAATTAGAAAAATACAATTATATGCAAAACTGGGGATTACTTACTTACTTATTTATGCCTGTTCCCACTAACACTCTCCATCCAACCCTGTCCTAGGCAATCCTTTCCAGCTCTTTCCAGTTGTTATTCATCCTTTTCTTATCTGCTTCCATCTCCCAACGTAGTGTGTTCTTCAACCTTCCTCTTTTCCGCTTTCCTTCACGATTCCAAGTTAGGGCCTGTATCAAGATGTGGTTTGATGATCTCGTCAATGTATGCTCTATCCACTTCTAATATCTTTTCCTAATTTCCTCTTCAACTGGAAGCTGGTTTGTCCACTTCCATAGAAGTCTGTTACTGATGGTATCCGGCCAATGGATATTGATTAGGTTACGAAAATAGAGTACTAAATGTTACATCTAAACTACAATAGATTTGGAACAGAAAACAATATGACAATGAACCATATATCAAACGAAAGCCTATGATCTGTAGAATAGATTAAGAACAAAAGTAAATGTTACTGTTTGCCATGGTTTGATCCAGATGAAATAACGTCCCCCCTCATTGTGTTTACCATAACTTCATTGTTTCTCTGTTCTCATTCATTTCCCTTCAATCGTTATTTTGTTTTCTTTTATTATAAATTTCTCTTTATTATTCATAAATAGAATCAATTGTTACATCGTAAATTGATCAACTCAATGGATGAAATTGAAAATTTAATTAAAGAAAATTGTATCACCATTTTAGGTGAATTACAAAGTCAATTTGAAAATAATTTAAATTATCTTGATGTAAGTAATGCTTTATCATATAATTCAATGACCACAATGGAAAACCTGGAAGCATTGGACGGCCGTTTCGTCCTAGTATGGGACTCCTCGGCAGTGCGTATCCACGATCCCGCAGCCCCGCGAAATTCGAACTCAGGACCTAACAGTCTTGCGTCAGGCGCTTAACCAACGAAACGGCCGTCTAGTGCTTCCAGGTTTTTCATGGTGGTCTAGCTTCAATTGATTCATGATTTTAATCAGTGAAGTTTCTAAAATCTCCACAAAAACCCCTTCTGATAATTATTATCAGTAGGAGGTTTTAATGGAGATGTTGGATACTGACTCAGTTATCTAGATGTTAAGTGTTCATATGTGAAATCTATAGGTCCTGGGTTTGAATCCTGTGGATGGGATGATAGATGAGTACTGTTGAAGAGTTCCATACTAGGATGAAATATTTATTCAGTACTCTTAGGTTTTCAATGGTTTTCCGGCTATAATTGATTCATGAATTCAATGATTAAATGAATTTATCATCTCCTTATTGATATATACATTTTATCAGCCTATGATTTTGTGGAGATTACAGTTTTTTTAGTTATAAATCATGAATAGATTTTAGCTAAACCAGAAGATATTAGATAGCTGTTTTTCCCTTGTATAGAACTTTTCAGGAGTGCATATCAATGACTTCACATCCTAGAATTGAACCTAATACCTTTAGTCTCACGTGTGAACACTCAATCTTTCGATCATTGAACCAGGACCCAATAGTGTTAATGTCCGATTTCAATCAGTTCATAATGTTGCGTAAATATCTTCCGTTGCCTGAGGTGGATAACGGTTTCACATCCAATGTGGTTGATGTATAGTTAGATGGATTTGATACTTTGGACCCTAAGTATAAATAAAATATCGTAAGATTGTAAAATACCTGAATACCTTTATGATGTTGGTTTATCGTCAATGAATTGACGTTAGAATCCAATTTTATATATGAACGAATATACATTAATGAACTGTACTAAATTGACTTAGTGTGTGGTGTGCTTGACTTTCAATCTCAATCTGTGTGTTGTATCAATATAGCTTATGTCATCTGTACTTGTACAAGTTGTTATAACTTGTGACCTGAGTGCCCTGTTAATGGATAAGTAACGATTACGCCAAATACAGAGCAGTGACTTATCGATCGGACCAAGGACGCGTAAAACATGTACGAGCAGCCTAGAGTCCTGATTAGTCCTGCTTTCTGCCTAGCCCAGCCAGTTGAGTCCAGAACACCAATCTCAGCCTTTGTGATAAGAATCATTTATTTCAAACATACCGGGTTTATATACCAACCAGACAGACCACATTGTACCATAAAATAGGAAACAATATTTGTACAAAATTTGGCCAAATGTGGCTGTGAATGTGGGAAGCAGTGACTGATAGACAGAGCATAATTCAAAAATAGTAAAAAGTATAATAATGGTTCATAGGTCAAAATAAGGTTCATTATAAGAGGAATATGAATAGTTTAGTTAATTAACAATTATACGTTAAAAGTATACGTATAGTATTGGTCTATAAATGGATCCCAAAAGTAACCATTCATTATGCTTATCGTGACCTAACACAAGTGTACTAGTTATTACTTGTATAACCCAATTCCTCATATGTATTAATGAAGTAAAATTACACCGATATGCATATGTTAATCTATGAGAGTATAAACAAATCAACTATGTCAAGTGTATTGAAGATGTTCGTCATAAACTGGCTTCAGGTAAAAAACAACAACAACAACTGGAGAACAGTCGACACGTATTGTATTGTAGTTTCAGTTAAAGGTAAACTAATTATCTTATGATATCTTATATTGTTCATGTTTAATTGTAATCAAGATGATGAAAGCTGTATAAGCAATAGAAATATTCTGATCTGTTCTTAAAAGTATACCGTAGTAACTACGAATGGATCAGCACACAAAAATCTCACATGATAGTAATGTCTTGTAATTGGCTATAGAGTATACAATTACTTACAAAATAATTATCATTTTTTGTAAACATGATAAACTCCTACAGCTTAAATGAAAGTTTGTAGTTCACTATACATCTATCTACGAAAGATTCATTGAATGTATAACAGATTCTGTATAAGAGATAGCTCATGTATTGACAAGTCCGATTGCAGCAGCCTGCTTGAATATCTGGGCTACTTGTTCCTACCATCTGAATATGTTAACAAGTTATTTGTTTTATTGTTTGTTTTAACACATTATTATGTTTATTAATCTCATAGCTTATTCAGGTACGTTTGTGTAAAGTTTAAGATCTTTCAGTGTACAAGTTACAAAAGGGCCCAATCAGAGATATCGTGATAACTGCCGATATATATTGGAAAAGAATGAACATTATTCAAATGTCAATTCATGAACTGCCAACATCTAACTGACGATCACTCAGGATTGATCAAGAAATAAGAAATACTTTGCGCTGAGAATTCTATATTCTACCAAAAGTATAATACTGAATATAGCCACTAATAATAATGATAATAATAAATTCACATGATATTGTTTACATGAATCTTCCCATCGATGTTTAGGACTGCAATTGATCAGTCTTTCATTGGCATATCTGAATACTGTGCGTATTGCCTCGATATTGTCTTAATTCACAAGCATTCTAAGCAACGATAGATAGTGGATAGCAGTGGAATGCAGTTTTGACGCGCGTTTCTTCCTATTTGGAACTCGTCAACTGGATGTACCTGCATCTCACAATTGATGTTCACTCTGGCATAGCTAAGTGAATAATGCGATAGCTTCCATCACATAAATCATTTATTTCAAGCATACTTGGTTTATATACAAACGAAATCAAACCGCATCATGCCATAAAGTAGGAAATAACATTTGTACAAGACCAAGCCAAAAAGTGGTTATGATTGTGAGAGACTGTAATCGATTGAAAATAAATTGAGAATAGTAAATCGTACAGTAGTAGTCAATAAGTCAAATAAAGAAATACGAATACATGTGTAGTCTAGTTATTTAATAGTTATACAATAAGAATATATATGTATAATAACAGTTCTTAAGTAGACCCTAACAGTTATCATTTACTTATTCTTCGTCCGGATATAACAAATATAATGATTATAAGTAAGGATGAATAGTGGCTAGCAGTGGAATCCAGGACGTGCGTTTCGTCCTATTTGGGACTCAATAGCTAAATGAATAACGCGATAGTGTTTGGAGCGTACGGTACTAGGTTCGAATCCCGGAGTGAACATCAACTCAGATGCAGGTATATCCAGCTGACGAGTCTCAAATAGGACGAGATGCACATCAAACTGGATTCTACTGCTAGCCACTATTCATTTTTGCTTAATGATAATAATAATACTTATTAACTATAGAATTCTATATAAGAGATAGAACAGACTCATCTATAGACACTCGATGCCTATTATAACTAACATAGCGGTTATATATATTTGAATAGTTGAATTCATGAAACTAGGCCACCATGGAAAACCTTGAAGCACTGGATGGCCGTTTCGTCCTAGTATGGTACTCCTCAGCAGCGCGCGTACACGACTCCGCCTCGTGGGATTCGAACCCTGGACCTATCAGTTATATATTTACAATGAAGTTTTTTTATAATAATATTCAATATACTCACTAATAGAACTTCTTTTATCCTTTTCTCCTTATTAGCATTGTTTCTCATGGTGTTTATCTATATGGTTAAATGAATGTATTCCATCATTATTAAAATTTACTCAAATCCTAATTCAATTATGGCAATTCTATGCTCATCTACTTATTGTTCATTTAAAAAATGAATTAAATTTTAATTTACTGAATATAAAACAAGTAGTATATGATGAAATTTTAAAAAAAGATGAATTGATTAATTCATTAATTGATTTATTAAGACAAAGTTCAACAGAACAAATAATTAATGAAAAATTACAAGAAGTAATTAATTTATTCAATGAAATTAGTGTAAAGTGAGTATGTTGTTTTTATGTTTGTGTTTGTGTGTGTGTGTGTAGGTGTGTGGATATTATAGTAATATTTTAAGAGTTGAATATATATGAGTCAATTGAAGGTAGAACATCATGGGATAGCTGGAAGCATTAGACGAGCGTTTCGTTCTAATATGGGACTACTTAGCAGTGCTCATCCACAATCACGGCCTGCAAGATTCGAACCCAGAAACTATAATTCTCACGTGCGAACGCTTAACCACTATACTATTGAGCTAGCTGGTATCCAACGGTGTTAATGTCTAACTTGAACTAATCCACGAAATTGAGCGACACATCCATCATTGGGTTCAGTGAGTTACTACCTCACAACAGACCCAAATGAACTTCACTGATCACTGCTTCTCACTAGAACTCCAGGAAATACCTCTTGGAGACCGTTGCTACTGAGTATATGATGATTACAATCAGAGAGGGATTTTCTGGATATTATATTAATTTTAGTAGTTGAATTCATGAGTAAATTAAAGCTAGATCACTATGAAAAATCTGGAAGCAATGGATGGCTGTTTCATCTTGTAGTATGAGACTGATCTCAGTAATGTGTATCCACGGCGACGGTGCAATTTCATGGATTGGTTGAAGTTAAACATTGACACTATTGGATACCGAATAGTGTCCTATCCACTTCCAGCGCTTCTTTCTCATTTCTTCCTCCGCTGGGATCTGGTTTTTTCTCTCCCACAGTACGTTGTTGCTAATAGTGTCCGGCCAATGGATCTGAAGTATTTTGCGTAGACAATTGTTAATAAACACCTGTATATTCTGGATGATGGCTTTCGTAGTTCTCCAGGTTTCTGCTTCATATAGTAGAACTGTCTTGACATCTGTATTGAAAATCCTGACCTTGGTGTTGGTTGACAGTTGCTTTGAGTTCCAGATGTTCCTCAGTTGTAAATATGCTGCTCTTGCTTTACCGATCCACGCCTTCACATCTGCATCAAATCCACCCTGTTCATCAATGATGCTGCCCAGATACGTAAAGCTTTTTACATCTTGCAAATCGTCTCCGTCAATTGTGATTGGATTGGTGCATGCTGTGTTGTATCGGAGAGTCCTGCTTTTCCGTTTGTGTATATTGAGACCTACTGCTGCTGACGCTACTGCCACACTGTTCGTCCTCTCCTGCATCTGTTGTTTCGTTTGGGATAGAAGGGCCAGATCGTCTGCGAAGTCTAGATCATCCAACTGCATCTTAGATGTCCACTGTATCCCGCGCTTCCCTTCAGACGTTGACGTCTTCATGATCCAGTCGATCACCAGGAGAAAGAGAAAGGGTGAGAGTAAGCAACCTTGCCTAACACCGGTCTTCACTTCGAACGACTTTGTCAACTCTCCTCCATGCACAATTTTGCAGTATAATCCATCATATGAGTTCTATATGATATTGACTATCTTCTGAGGCACGCCGTAGTGTCGAAGAAGCTTCCATAGTGTTGTTCTGTCCACGCTATCAAATGCCTTTTCGTAGTTAATGAAGTTGATGTAGAGTGATGAATTCCATTCAATTGATTGTTCCACAATGATCCGTAGAGTTGCGATTCGGTCTGTACACGATCTATCCTTACGGTATCCTGCCTGTTGGTCACGAAGTTGGGCGTCTACGCAGTCCTTCATTCTGTTTAACAATACCCTGTTGAAGACTGTTCCCGGTATTGAGAGAAGAGTAATGCCCCTGTAGTTATCACAGTTGCTGTTATCGCCTTTCTTCGGTATTTTGATCAGGTATCCTTCTTTCAAGTCTGCTGGTACTTGTTCTTCAACCCAAATCTCGCTGAAGAGAATGTGGAGTATCCTTGCACTTGCCTCTACGCCTTCTCTCAGGGCCTCTGCCGTAATGTTGTCTGGTCCTGCTGCTTTGCCACTCTTGATTTGTCCGATGGCCGTGCTGATTTCTTCAATTGTTAGTGGGCCAACATCGACTGGGAGGTCCGTGGGTGCTGCTTCGATGTTGGGTGGGTTCAGTGTGGCTGGTCGATTCAATGGTTCTTTGAAGTGTTCTACCCACCTGTTTTGTTGCTCTTCAATGTTGGTGATTACCTTGCCTTCTTTGCTTTTCACTGGTCGTTCTGGTTTGCGGAGATTTCCAGAGAGTTTCTTTGTCATGTCATACAATTGTCTCATGTTTCCTTCTCTTGCAGCCTTTTCCACCGTCGTTGCTAAATCTTCAACATATTTACGTTTGTCGGTTCTGATGCTCCTCTTCACCTGTTTGTTTACTTCTGTGTATTCAGCTTGTGCCTTGGCTTTTTCTGCTTTTTTTGACTGGTATTGATTGCTGCCTTCTTGTTCCTCTTTTCTTGAATCTTATCCAGTGTATCAACAGTGATCCATTCTTTGTGATGGTGCTTCTTGTGACCCAGGACCTCATGACATGTTGAAGTGATTGCCTCTTTGATCCCCTTCCAGTTGCTCTCCACAGTAGTTCCTTCTCCATTGAGTAGATCATGAAACGCCTGGAACTTGTTGCTGAGGACTATCTTGAATTTTTTGAGTTTGTTAGTATCCTGAAGAAAGGCCGTATTGAACTTTTTTGATATTGTCCGCCCCATTGTCCAGTGTTTCTTGAGTTTCAGTTTCATCTTGGCGACCAGCAAGTGATGATCTGATGCTATATCAGCCCCTCTCCTGGTTCTCACGTCCTCTATAGTCCTCCTGAACGTTTTGTTGATGCAAATATGGTCGATTTGGTTTTGTGTAGAGTGATCCGGTGAAGTCCATGTGAAGGACAAATAATGGAATTTCTCACCGAAATTATTCAATGTATGGTTCTCAAATTTTATCACCGACCGTTACTGCTACTTTGACGTGGTGGCCTATCTCACCTACTGTAATGAATCAATCGTGCTGTACTGGCTGGAACAATCGATCCTCAAGGTCCTACCATGTCAGATAGGTTAGTTGAAGAACAGTAGGACTAAAAGCAGCAAATCCAAGGCGAAGTCGTACTGCTAACTATACAGTGATGTGACGGTAGTAAGATGTTTCTTTCAGACAACCAGTATAACAGCGATGCTGCCTTCCCACAAGAAAGGGTGGGGTTAGAAAAGGTCGACCTTTCAAAAATGCACATCTCGCCTTATCCCACTGAATTCCGTATCTGGCGATATGGTATCAACAAGTACTAAGTTATCTCAAAAAAGTTCATGTGTAACCGACCTTAAGCAGTTGTCCTCTGGGCACTGCGGTCACTCTCTCAAATCACTAAGACCACCTCTAATACAATTTCCTTTTCAGGTACCTCTAGAAGAACCCGTCCAAGTTGCGGGCAACTGGAAAGTGCTAACCGACCTCATATCTCCAACAGCATTCAAGACTAAACTTTGAAGTAACTGCTTCTATAAATTCAGTGTCCATCTTGTTGTGGTAATGAGGTATGGCAAACTTGGACCAATGCATATATGTATCAGGTCTTATGTTGTAGCTGACTGACTCTCATATTTTTTTCAAGAGTTTCTGTGTGTACTAAAAATAAATTGATTGCCCCCACGTGAGTGTTCGTGCACTACAAAAACAAAAATCACAAAGAGGTGAGACTATAATTTATGGACGACCTTCGAGCGACGCCAAAATGACCTTAAGAATGTCCACTCTACTTGCTGCGACTAAATATGAAAGTTATAAACCTGCATGAAGTATAAGGATTATGATTTATAGTTGATGGTTAAGAGTTAGGAATTAGGTTTACGGTTTTTCATCACTTACTGACATCAACTAAAATGACAAAACGCTTTTTACCCAAATGAATGAATGAATTTCGATCCCAAATCCGAAATCTATTATCCTGAATGTGATTGGTCCTTCTATAAATTATAGTCTCGCCCCTCATCTAGCGCAAAATTCAATCAACCATTTGCTTAAATAGGGTTTCAGCATTATAGCTCAGCCAGTCAGTCAATCAACTAAAATGTAGGACCAGGTATATATACATATATGCATTGATCTAAGTTGCCATACCGCATTAGAACAACAAGATGGTAGTAATACATAAAAGGAACATTGTGTATAAGGATATAGTACAGGAAGAAAGAATTAGTCCGTAGAAAGAAAGATATAAAGCGATTTTAATCTCATAGTTTAAAGTAAGATAAAAAGTGTATACAACTACACCATTGTGATCGATTCTGAGCCGTCACACAGTCTCCAACCATTGATTACGATAGTCACGCAGATCCCAATCAAGTAGTCTGCATCTACCAGCAAGGCTCAAACTAAAAGTTGGTGACTTCAAGCACTGATGCCACGTGTTGGTTTGGCTGTCCCTAACTTTCTTCTAGCTATCCCCTACACTAATCAACATTGCACATCGTGGTAATCGGTGTTCATTTAATCCTAGTTATTAGGTGAACAATTTCAAGATTATCTTGGCATCGCTCAACACATCATCCATAAATTATACTCTCACTTGAAATCTTTCACTTCATATTCAAATTCAATTGAAATATGCTTCCATTGAATACTTCAATTTCTGTGTGCTGTGCTATGCTGTAGTATGGTGTAGTAAGGTTTCTTTGGAGGAGGGGGAGGTGGGTTTTCAAAAAAAGAAAAGACTCTGTTGCTTATTATCATTTTTTAATGATGATCATTTATTGTAGTGTGAACAACATGTGAATAACTTTTCTGGAGAAAGAGATGATTTTTCAAAAAATCGTATGTCCTGGATCTAAAATACAAAATTGTCGTCTGTTCTCTTAGTTTATGACAGAAAAACAATTTTTTTTCGTTTTACATAGAAACAAATTACTAATGGAATAACTAAATTATAAATTAGTTACTATGTCCTTTATTAAATTCAATGAAATACCTTATTTTATCCATCATATGCTTTACATGATAAGAGAACAAAGAACAACTAATTGAAGTGTCCCAGTTTCTACGAAGAAGCAGAAGAAGAAGAAGGCCATGTTGTATTATTCAAGATCAAATTCATTACATTCAATTGTAGAAATGATTCTTTCATTATTATCACTAATGATCGATGGAATTATTATCATTTATAGTAAACCATTAGATATTGAATCAGATACACCATTAACTATAAGTTTTAATCCATCGTCTAATCAAGTACAATTAAATCAACCATTAATAATACGTTGTGAAGTTCATTCATTCAATAATAAACAATTACAAGTCAATAATAATAATAATAATAATATACTTAATGGTTATAGTATGTTCTTTCAATGTCCTATAGCTCCATGGGGTAAATTTTGTTTTCATAATTGTCAATCTGCATGTGTTGGTGAAATACCTAATCAATGTCCATATGATAATGAATTAAGTCTTATTAAATGTCGTACTGCTATGACTGAACAAGGTTATTTCTTTTATGAATATACAATACCAAATCTAACTGAAACATGGTTAGGATTAAACCATAATAATAATAATAAACTTCAATGGATAAGGATAATCATCGTAATAAAATAGAAGGTTTCTCATGTAAAACAGCTGGATTAGAAACACCAAAAATTCCTTTAACTTTAGTTAAACCCAATGATATTCAATTGAATACAATGGATCTATCAAAGACTAAAACATCATCATCATCATCTAATCTCATTCAATGATATCTCATTTGAATAAAACTATATCTAATGAATATAATACACAGAAAGATGAATCTAATCCATTGAATAATGGAATGAATCAATCGATAAAACGAATCAATTCTGAACTTAAAGGTAAGTCTATAATCATTCTTTCCTTTTTCTTATCATTGTTACATCCATGTAGCTAAATAAATGGTTACTCTGGTTGTCAGAAGGGGCATCGGCATCGTGAATTCCGAAGGAATTCGGCTTTTATCATGAGGCCTCTTCTATATGAAGACCTTTTAACTCCCAGGGCATAGTTTAAGTGGTTTGAATAATTTTTTTCTGGTTAGTGTTTTTTCAGCGAGTTAGTTTTCTACGGAATGGGATCGCGAACCCCATGTCCAACCCTCCTCCTTTATCCGTGCTTGGGATTTCGGGTATAATTTGTTGTTGAGTGTCAAATAGCACGGAACCTAGGTTCAGAGTTTCTTTTTAACTGTCTCGAACGAACACCTTGAACATACCTTATGTGTAATGAGACCTTAAAGGTTACTATGGAAGGTGTTTATCTAACATTTCGTAATCGATACTGCTTTGCTAACCGATACCAGTATTTGATTGAGATCATGAATTGATTGATGTTAGACCGCCATTGAAAACCTGAAAATACCAGACGACCGTTTCGTTGTGGGACTCCTCAGCAGTGCGCATTCAAGATCCCACTCTCAGGATAGGACGAAACAGTTGTCCAGTGCTTCAAGGTTTTCAATGGTGGTCTAACATCAATCAGTTGATGACTTCAATCAAAAATGTAATAATTTCATCAACCCTATACTGATGAATCAGTATATCATGAGGAATTTACTTCAAGATGAAAACGGAACATTTGGTAGTTTGTTAGTTAATTGTAAATACCAACATGTGACGATTATCACATTCAGATTTGAGGATCCGTTCAGATCATAGGGTCACCTATTTTCTAAATAGGTAAATATTGCTAGATATTGTATAAATTTAGATTGATAATAAGATACATTTTCCTAAAATAATTTATTACCACAATATACAAACATCAAAACATTCAACATCTAACTGATCATTTTCAATTCAATGTTAATCAATAATACTCTTTAGTAATAAGATACATAATAAAACAAAATTCATTATTGATTGAGATCATGAATTGATTGATGTTAGACCAACAACGAAAACCTGGACGGCCATTTCGTCCTATTATGGGTTTCGTCAACAGTGCACATCCATGATCCCACTCGTGGGATTTAAACCCAATTTAGTTTGATTCAATCATCAAACTATTCATGATCTCAATCAATCATCTTTACAATCCTATACTGATAATTAATTATCACTGTCAATTCATACAACTTAAATATCATTGTATATTTTGATTGATGAAGAATTATTTCCATGAATCTCTTGTCATAGGGATAATGTTAATTAGATTTCATTATAATCCAATCATGATAATCATGATATACCAACTACTTTGTTATGTAACATTAAAATCAATGAACTATTCCGTAGTTGATTATTCTCATGAGAGGCGGGGGGGGGTACATTGATATATGTATATATCACATTACATTTGTATATTCTAATAAGGATTGTTTCTTCAAAATTATTGACTAATTTTCTTTTTATTGATAGATAGTTTCTTTAAACCATACTATTCACATGGTAACCACAAATTTGCACTGGTACACTCATTACACTCGTGCACGCACACACACACAAGTACGTACGCACAACTGCCCACATAAATAAATACAAAAGGTGAAATCCTTTAGTAATCATTTAAGAAGTACAATAGTTTATAAAAATACACACACACACACAGTAATGCCAACATATTTGTATCAGCTTATTGATACGTAATAAAAAGCACAAAATTTTGGTTGAACTACTTATTATATACTGAAATCGATTATGAATTGATTAGTAATAGTTGCCTTATATAAAATATAGAGTATATTCTATTAGATTATTACGTTGATTCATATTTGTCAGAAGTGGTTTTATGAAGATTTCAGTCATTTTATAGTTGAATTCATGAGTTAATTGAAGCTAGACCATCATCGAAAACCTGGAAGCATTGGACGACCGTTTCATCCTAATATGTGACTCCACAGCAATGCATATCCACGATCACGCTCAGAGAGATTCGAACTCAGGACCTACCAGTCACGCATGCGAATGCTCAACGTCTGGACCACTGAGTGGGCATACAATTGTGTTAATGCTTTACTCCAACTAATCATCAAAATTGAGCGACACATCAACCATTGTCTTTAGTGATTTGTTATCTCACAACAGACCTGGTTGAACTCCATCGGTAACTGCTTCTCACTAGAACTTCAAGAAATACCTCTTGAAGTCATTCATTAGTGAGCATACGATGAATATTATCATAATAGGTTTTGTGGAGATTTTAGTAATTTTATAGTTGAACTTAGTGGTCTAGATATTAATCGTTTGCGCGCATGACTGATAGGAGCTAGGTTCAAATCTCGCGAAGCGGGATCGTGGATACGCACTACTGATGAATCTCGTACTAGGACGAAACGGCCTTCCAGTGTTTTCAAGTTTTCAATGGTGGTCTAACATCAGTCAGTTCAAGATATCATTCAATAACTTAATAATCTTTACATCCCTATACTGATCATTAAAGTTAAATGTTGATTGTTAACTTACAGAAAGTTTCAAACATTCGGTCTGTACAAGTTCGTGCTTGTTAGTAAGAAATACCTGCTATCTTTAGGAAAGTGATGTTTCCTGTGAGATTCTTTCTTATTGGATTCAGTTTCATTATGAGAGATGGGACTGATAAGTTATTTACAAAGTGGCTCGTTTCAACCAACCGAAAATTTGCTTTCAAAATTTCTTACCGATTCTCTTCAATCGAATAACATCAAAACACAGTATGCATAGTGTTAGGTCTCTTGAACTATTGAGGGATAAATAATATTTATATCAGTGTCATGAGTGATCATTTATTGATATAAATACATTGTTTCTATCTATCCCTTTGAATTCTTATAACCACTTAATCCAGAATCCCAGTATCCCATAAGTTGAATTCATATTTTCAACTCTCTAGATCAAAAACTCTGTGAATCATCTAACTGTCCGATGATGAACTTACTTACTTACGCCTGTTACTCCTCGTGGAGGAGCATAGGTCGCTCACCAGCACAATTCATTCAACCCTGCCCTGGGCAATCCTTCCCAGTTATTTGCAGTTATTATTCGCTTGTTTCATATCTGCTTCTCTTTTCAAATGTAATATGTTATTTGGCCTTCCACTTGTCCCATTCCTTTCACGAGTTCAAGTTAGGACCTGTCTCGTGATGTAGTTTGATGATTTGCATAATTTATGTCCTATCAATTTCCATCGTCTTTTCCTAATTTCCTCTTCAGTTGGAAGCTGGATTGTTCTCTCCCACAGAAGGCTGTTGTTGATGGTATCCGACCAATGGATGTTGAGTATCTTGCGTAGACAACTATTTATAAATACTTGTACGTTCTTGATGATGGTTGTAGTAGTTTTCCATGTTCCAGCTCCGTACAGTACTCCGATGATTAAGCAAAGTATTTATCCTAATTCAAAGCTACCTAACTCGACTCATACTATATTGAAGTATCTTACTTTCCTAATGTATGATACATTTCATGCGTAGGGATAATTAACTTTCATTAATAAAATAGCTCACTGAATGAATATACTTTCAAAGTTAAGCTTTTCAACTATTGATCAACTAACCTAATTAGCGGCAGCCCGGATAGCTCAGTGGTAACGTTTCTGATTGTGAAGCTGGGTGACACTGGGTCGAATCCGCCAGGGAGCATCAGTTCCATCAAGATTACGGGTACACCTTGCTGACGAGTGCCAAGTAGGATAAAAAACCCTCTTTGAGCCCCTCTGGGGCTACTGCCGGTCCCAAATTCGGATAAAGGAGGAGGGTTGAGCATGGGATTAGCGACCCGATCCCGTAGAAAACTTACTCGCTGAAAAACACTAGCTAGTCTAGTTTCATCTAACTGAATCCAGTTTATTAAACTTTTTAATGATCTACTCCATAGAATCGGTTTTGTAATTAGTTAAATGTTACGATATTACACTTAATGGTTATTGATTGGAATATTTTCAAGACATTTCCATTCATCCATAAACATTTGTGATTTATCAGAAAAGGAGTTTTGTAGAGATTATAGTAATTTAATAGTTGAATTCATGAGTCGATTAAAGTTAGACCACTATGAAAAACCTGAAAGCAACGAACGGCTGTTTCGTCCTAGTATTGAACTCTTCAGAAGCACGCGTTCACGATCCCGTAGGCGAGATCACATGCAAGACCAAAGGTCTTGGGTTAGAATCCCGTGAGCAGGATCGTGGATGAACACTGCTGAAGAGTCCAATGATGATGATCTAGCTTTAATCAACTCATGAATTCAACCAGTTGTGATTTAGACTGATCGTTTATCATTCTCTTCCTGAGACTAATTTGTTTTTATTCATTAATTGATAAGTAAGATTTGTTTCAATTATGAATAGTTAACGGTTACAAACATTATCTCTTACCTTCATTTGATATTGTTTACTTGAATCTTTCGATCAATGCTTAGAACTGTCATTGATCATTCCCTTATTAAGTTCGAATCTCAGGGTGAACATCAACACTGAGATACAAGCATATCCAGTTGATGAATCTCAAATAGGAAGAAACGCATATCCTGGATTCTACTGTTAACCACTATCTATCTTTGCTTAGTTTCTCTTACCATTTAACTTCCCTTTTTAAAATACATGACATTTACATGTATTAATCATAATTAATAATTTCCCTTTACTTTATCCGTGTAAAATAACTGATTCTATGAGATTTAACTAATTTTCAGCAAATGTATGACATTTAAATCATTGTATCAAGTTGTAAATGAGGAAATAACAACATTTTCCTAGTTGAATATTCATGAATCGATTTAAGCTAAACCAGCATTACAAACCCAAAGATACTAAACAACCGTTTCGTCCCAGTATGGAACTTTTCAGCAGTGCACATCCATAATCCTGCGCCGACGGGACTCGATCCTAGGAACTTCGCTTTCGAGAGCGAATACTTAACGTCTAGACCACTGATCTGGCATCCAAAGGTGTTCATGTCTCATTTTAATCGATTCATGATTTTGCACAACCAGTCATTCATTATCTGATGTAGATACCAGTCTCTATCCGATATGAATTGGATATTTGTTGAATTCACGCCATGTTTTGTTTGTAATTCATGAATGCTTGAAAAAAAGACGGTTTTCACCGAGTAGTGATATCGGCTAGAAAATAACCTCCAGAGATAAATTAATTGAATATTAGGTACAACAATTTTGAAGGTATGATCATTGAAAATGTTCAAGATTTGTGGTACTAATTAGAAGATAGTTGCACAGTATTATGGATTGATCTTCGCCGTGTATTAAGGACGTTGGATTCTAACTCAGTGGTCTAGAGCTTAAGCATTGACGTTCAAGACTGAAGATGATGTGTCGGATTCCAACGTTCAGTATGATGAATGCCTAGTGCTGATGAGTCCCATTCCAAAACGAAATGGCCGTTCAGAATCATTTTCTTTAAAAGAAATTCATTATTACTTAGAATAAAAGTTGGTAACATTGTCAAGAATGACACTAGAACATTCACATCTAAACTATTCAACTAAAAAATGTCAAAGTATAAAATAATTCCATTTGAATAACAGATTTTCTCAATATAATGAGTTAAAATTGTACTTAACTGAATACATAACATCATGAAGATATTTATCTGTAAGAATAAAGTTGCCATCTCATATTAGCAAAAGATGAATGACTTTTCTTGAAATTTGAAATCAACTCATACTTATTTACTTACTTACTTACTTACTTACTTACGCTTGTTACCCCTCATAAAGGAGAATATGCCACTCAGTAGCATTCTTCATCTCGAGCTCAGTTAAATAAGGAAGGTTAGATATGGAGTGAGTTACCCTTAAAATTTGTGAGCTGATTTTTTTCGGTTTCCTGCAGTTTTCTCCCGGTTTTTCTAGTGGTTTCCTTTTAAGTTTGTGAACAATGTAACTACCATAAAGAATATAGAATTGTTTTCTATTACTATTCAACTGATAAAAAAATATTATTCATTTTACGTCGATGTGTTATCTGTCTATGTATGTTGGGTATCTTTTTTGCTGAGGATGAGGTTAGTGGTGGGATGGGGCTGGAGGTGGAAATTCATGACTAACTTATAAGATCATCTCTTTCTATACATAAACATATCTCCTTATTCTATATATATGGATACCATATAGAATGTACTTCTGATGCTTGTGGAAATCTTCAATGAATATTGTATAAACGGTAGATGAATACATGTTTCTATTTATGTACATATACATTGATATATGAATACATGTACCATAGAGACATTTATAAATTGGGGGGGGGGAAAGAAAGAATTGTCAGCAGAAGCTCAAAATAAATCAAGTAATTGGATTCTAAAAGGTCTAACTGCTAATCAAACTTTTACTTATGATCTGTAAGGAGTCAAATCAAGTGATATTCAGTATTAAGTTTAGTGGGGAACCACTTCATGGTATTTTCACAGCTAACAAATTATATCATAATATCAATTCTAACCTACAGACCGTTCTGATATATATAAGTGAGAATAATGGTCTAAAGGTTAGGCGTTCGTTCGTCAGACCGAAGGTCCTGGGTTCGAATGCTTAAAACGGGATCATGGATGCACACTGTTGAAATGTCCTATAATAGGAAGAAACCAGTGCTTTCAGATTTTCAGTGGTGATGTAACATCAATCGATTCATGAACTCAACTATTAAATCACTAAAATATCCATGAAACCCATTTCTGAAAACATATAATTATTATCAGAAGGGGTTTTGTGGACATTGTAGTAATTTCAACAGTCGAGATCATGAGTCGATTGAAGCTAGACCACCTTTGAAAACCTGGAAGCAATGGACGGCCGTTTCGTCCTATTGCGAAACTCCTCAGCAGTGCGCATCCACGACCCCGCCTCGCTGGATTCAAACCCAGGACCTGTCGGTCCCGCGCCAGGCGCTCAAACAACTAGACCACTGCGGTGGCATGCATCCGACTATGTTAATGTCTAACTTCAACTAATCGACGAAATTGAGCGACACATCCACCACTGTCATCAGTGAGTTTCTACCTCACAACTGACCAGGTTGAACTCCACTGCTGAGGAGTCTCACAATAGGACGAATCGACCGTCCAGTGCTTCTAGGTTTTCATGGTGGTCTAGCTTCAATTGGCTCATGATCTCAACAGTTGAAATTACTACAATCTCAACTGTTGAAATATATAAATACGTTAATTTTATTATACTACTAATATGTAGCTTTAATAGTATAGTTCTATTTACAAGTAATATAATTATTATACAATACTAATTAAATAAAAGTGAATAACTTTTCACGTTTACTGTTTAACTACTTGTTTGTTTTCGGCACCGATCATCATCATCCACCATATGACTAATAATATGACTAAATCCCGCACGCGAGATTCAAACACAGGATCTTTGGTCTGGCGCGCCAATGCTTAACCTCCAGACCACCTATTTGGAATTCAATAGTGTCGGTGACTAATTTCAACAAATCCACGAGGATGTGCAACCACTCACCAATGTCTGAGATAGATACCTGTCTCTGCCTGAAAGGAATAGCTCGACTGGTCACAGTTGCTCACAAGAACTTCGAGAATCCCCAGAAAGTGCTAGTTAACAGTGAGCACATGATAATCATCAAGGTAGTATTGTGGGGATTGATAAGTCTTTCAAAGATATCAGAATCGATGTATGTCAGATAATGGTCCACTGCTCTGGGTTTCCAATGATAGGCTAATATTCATCGACCCATGATTTCAATCGATAGCTTAAAAACACCATACTGCGAATATGGTTGCATATAATGATGATTCTAGAAGAGAACGACCAGTAAACTCACTTCAATTTAGATAATAAATGGTTACAGTGTTTATTCATAGCTGAAGCAAGACTAACTATGAATTGACTGCCAAAATATTTGTTTTCAATTTACTTGCTTTTCACAAAAGCAGGACTGTTTTGTAAAATGAGACTTCCTTTCAACTCGGTTCTGTGTGAGTAGATGACTGTCAGTCACAAAAACACATAATTAGAAAGCGGTATTCATTATTCTAACAAAGTTTAATATCACGCCCACGACACAATAGACAATATCATATGATTTGAATAATTAAATATAATGA